CCCCCCTCCACTTTCGAACAAAACCATCGTCCCGACAAAAGCCGTAGTCGATCAGAGCCAGGTATTCTCCGTACCAAGCCACTAACGAGTTTCCCTAGCGTTCGACGTGGAACAGTGACTCGATCGACCGGCATCGGTTCCGGAAATAGGAAGCAGACGTTCACTCACCTTCTCGTTCTGATAGGCGGTCACCGCGATAAATTCCGTCTCCTTAAAAACGTAACTCCTGAACGTCGAGTAGGGGAGCTTCGCGATCTCGTTGGCCCTCACCAGGTGAAACCTCGGCTGGTACTTGTGCATCGAGTTCAATATCGTCTGAAACAACCAGCGGACCGTACATTGGGACAGACTGTTTCAGCGCAGAGCTCGTGCTCGCAATCGTCTCCCTCCAACTCTCTCTCACACCCTCCTCTTTCATGCCATCTCACTCCGCAGTATTTCCACGCACTTCCATACGGAGGTGCACGGGTTAGCCGCGGTGGCGACACCGTCGCGCATAACCTAACAACGGCAGGATACAGGAAAGATTCGATCGGTGTGAGAAATGGAAACAAATGGAATATTAATTTGGAAAATTTGTTATTAATCATCGTCAATCGTTATTGGAATGTTTTTCTAGAAGCTTTCGGGATGAAGGATGACGGGAGCTTCTTTGAGAGTGCTGGTTTTGGTGACGAAGTTTGTCGCTAGATGTCGCACGTGATTTATAGCGTCTAGTAACTTGAGGATAGGGATATTCTAGCGAATATGGAACGAAATTTATTCGGAATGGAAGTCGTTTGGGAAATGATAGATTAGTATGATGAGTCACACAAGTACTATTGTTTTGTTACACAGGTTTTGCAATTTTTATCAATGACAAGTGGTACTTTAACTTTTAATATTTCAATCAAATATTAATTCGAATTTCATTGATATTCATTGATAAAAATTTTGGAAGCTGTGTTATAGAAAAATGGTGATCGTTGATATTTAATTTTGACAATTGGAGTATAACACGAATTTTTGTTTTACTGCAAGCATAGAGCAAATGGAATTATCTCTGATACCAAAATAATTGATTGCAATTAGAGAGATAAAAAATATCTCTGTGACTAAAATTTTTATTTTGCAATCCGATTTCGAAAGAGAACAAATTATTCAAAATCGATAATCAGGGCTGTACTACTTGAGTGACTACAACTTTTACTCAGCAACCAATTTTCATCCATCAAACACTTAATTAGTACAACACATATTAACAAGAGTTACTATAACAGAAATTAAAAATTAAAAATTTAGAAAATACATCAAAGAAGACCTTCGACAGTTCAAATTTAATATTATCAATAACAATACTTCCACGATTATGATTTTCAGTACGTGGGCGAAATGGTAGCACACTATGATTTTCAGCGTTTCTCGAGTAACTTCGAAGCGGTATATCTCGGCTAAAAAAAATCGTACGGTTACAAATCAAATTCGGTTTTACAAGGTAAGGTTAGTACTATTTACAGACAGTGATAAAAGTTTCGAGAAAAAATTGCTGCTCTTGGAATAATTTTTCAAAAATGAAATTCGACATTTTAGATTTATCTGTTTCAAGAATCCACGCTGTCAAACAATTTTGACAGTCAAATTCGAATTAAGCGCGAGAAATCATTCCATTTCGAAGAAATAAAATCTCGTTAATCTATTTTTTGATACTCCTGTTATTAACAGTGTTGGTACCTCTGTATTATTAACCCTTTGCACTGCAATAACGAGTCTACACTTCACTCGTCATAGAAACACCGAAAACTACGAGGTGTGCTACAATTTTAACGCGTACTGCACTCGTACAACCATTTTGAAGACCCTTGATCAGGGCTCAGGGTGCACTTTTCCATTCCAAAGGCCGACACTGCCATACTCGTTAATACTGAACCTGACACGATGAAACTGAAAGATCGATTCCGCGTACAATATATTTAAAAAAGAGAATAATAAAAATTGCGAAGCCTAGTGACTAACACAGTAATGGTGAACATGAATCGGAATTTTTAATTTAGCCCACGGTAGGTACAAATCAAATGATCGGTGAACGAAATGAAACAGCAGTAGTATCTCTAAAAGACGAAATAACGGGAGACATTGAATGACCAATTACACGATTACATTGAAGGAAATAATCATGGATATGTGTAACTAAGAATTTTAAACGAGAGTTTAAGAAAGGATCATTTAAGCTACAGTGAGATTAGGTCAATTGACGGGTGAATGAAACGAAAAAGCAGTAGAATCTGCAGAAAATGAAATGACACGAGACACTGAAAGATGAATTACACGATTACATTAAAGGAAAAATCGCGAATATGTGTGACTAAGAATTTTAAGTGAGAGTTTCAAGAATAGCCATTTAGCCTACGATGAGATTAGGTCAAATGACCGGTAGATGAAATGAAAAAACTGTAGGAACTCTAGAAAAAGAAATGGAATGACACAAAACATTGACAGATCAATATATATTACAAAAAAAAAAAAAAATTGCGAACACCAAAGACTAGGAATTTTAAACGAGAAATGGTCATATAGGTTACAGCGAGATTAGGTCAAATGACAGGTAAATGAAATAAAAAAATTGTAGGATCTCCAACAAAAAAAAAAATAGAATGACACAAAACATTGACAGATCAATATATATTACAAAAAAAGAAAAAAAAAATTGCGAAGACCAAAGACTAGGAATTTTAAACGAGAAATGGTCATTTAGGTTACAAAGAGATTAGGTCAAATGACAGGTAAATGAAATGAAAAAATTGTAGGATCTCCAACAAAAAGAAATAGAATGACAAAACATTGACAGATCAATATATATTACAAAAAAAAAAAAAAATTGCGAACACCAAAGACTAGGAATTTTAAACGAAAAATGGTCATTTAGGTTACAAAGAGATTAGGTCAAATGACAGGTAAATGAAATAAACAAATTGTAGGATCTCCAACAAAAAAATATACAATGACACAAAACATTGACAGGTCAATATATATTACAAAAAAAGAAAAAAAAAATTGCGAAGACCAAAGACTAGGAATTTTAAACGAGAAATGGTCATTTAGGCCACGGTGACATTAGGTCAAATGACCAGTAAATAAAATGCAAAAACTATAGGATTTCCAAAAAAGAAAAAAAAATGGAATGACACAAAACATTGACAGATCAATTACAATTGACAGATCAGAATAATACAAAAAAAAAAAAATTGCGAAGACGATTGACTAAGAATTTCGTCCAAGAGTTTGACAAGCGGCCACTTAGGCTACTGTACGTTCAGTATTAACTCGCAGGCAGTGTGGAATTTTCTTTCAAACAGCTCGAGCATCGGCCCACGACGCACGCACCAGTCGAACGAATCGTCACGATCCAAATTTCCCCGATTCCCTGGATCCTCGTTCGCTGATGCATTATGCGCGATGGGCCGCAGCGAAACAAGCCAGGCGTCCCAGCGGAAGGGAGAAGCCGCGAGACAGAGAAAAGCAGGACAGAAGAGACACGAATTCTAGTCGGAGTTTATCGTGACATTCCGAAAGCCAGATTCAGAAATCATTTCGCAAAGCGGCATAATCGTTGCCCGAGTCGGCGCCGATCGGCTCGAACCGCAAACTCGTCCCAAAGCTCGTCTCTCTTCCTCTCAGAACCAATGTCCCAGGCCACGACGACGACCATGATTCCCTGCGCATTTCGCAATTTTAACGCCGATATTACCCTCGTTAACCAGCCATTTTCCGTCTGCTCTGAACCACCTTGAGCAATCATCGCTTGTCACCCCATTGGTGATATTTTTAAGTACAGAGTCGCTGATTGGGATTTTATGTTCTTGTCAAAAGATCGCTGCGCTATTTTCGAGTTTAATTACATTTTGAGAGAGTTTATCCCACGTTTGAATAATAGGGGAGGATTTTATTCCTGTTTTAAATGGCCGGATAGATTAATTGTAATTTTATTTGATGTGTCGATAGAGATAATAGAGCTGCATTTGCTACTTTGTGTCAAAATAAAATGTATCGTCTATTTGATAGTGGTTTAAAGATTTTGAAGAGCAGATTTAATTATTATTCGAAAATTTTCTATGGATAGAGGATTTGGAGGGTAGAGAAGAAGTAGGTGAACCACTCGTTTTCAAGAAGGAAATATAAATACAAAACATATGGGATGCGAGAGGTGAACCCTGTCAAGCTGTCAATTAGGGATCCTAAATTTTTCTCGCGAGGATTGTCATAATATCTATGAATAATTTCAAAGTTAACCTCGCAGTGACGAATTTTTCTGTGATCTTAATAGGTAGCGGATTTGAAGAACGCGGAGGATTCACTCATTTCCAAGAGGAAGTAAGCTTATTTTACATTGGATACGAATGGCGAACCCTGTCAAGCTGTCAATTAGGGATCCTACATTTTCCTCGCGACGATTCTCACGATATCCATGAATAATTTCGAAGTTAAACTCGTAGCGACGAATTTTTCTGTGATCCTGATAGGAAATGGTAGCGGATTTGAAGAACGCGGAGGATTCACTCATTTCCAAGAGGAAGTAAGCTTATTTTACATTGGATACGAATGGCGAACCCTGTGAAGGTGTCAATTAGGGAACCTAAATTTTCCTCGCGACGATTCTCACGATATCCATGAATAATTTCGAAGTTAAACTCGTAGCGACGAATTTTTCTGTGATCCTGATAGGAAATGGTAGCGGATTTGAAGAACGCGGAGGATTCACTCATTTCCAAGAGGAAGTAAGCTTATTTTACATTGGATACGAATGGCGAACCCTGTGAAGGTGTCAATTAGGGAACCTAAATTTTCCTCGCGACGATTCTCACGATATCCATGAATAATTTCGAAGTTAAACTCGTAGCGACGAATTTTTCTGTGATCCTGATAGGAAATGGTAGCGGATTTGAAGAACGCGGAGGATTCACTCATTTCCAAGAGGAAGTAAGCTTATTTTGCATTGGATACGAATGGTGAACCCTGTCAAGCTGTCACTTAGGGATCCTAAATTTTCCTCGCGACGATTCTCACGATATCCATGAATAATTTCGAAGTTAAACTCGTAGCGACGAATTTTTCTGTGATCCTGATAGGAAATGGTAGCGGATTTGAAGAACGCGGAGGATTCACTCATTTCCAAGAGGAAGTAAGCTTATTTTACATTGGATACGAATGGCGAACCCTGTGAAGGTGTCAATTAGGGAACCTAAATTTTCCTCGCGACGATTCTCACGATATCCATGAATAATTTCGAAGTTAAACTCGTAGCGACGAATTTTTCTGTGATCCTGATAGGAAATGGTAGC